CCAGGTGGCTGGGTCAACCCGCCGGGTCGGCCGGGTCGGCCGGGTCACGTTGGGTCATGGCTTACCTTATTTTTTCATCAACCCGGCCCGGTTCTAGCCCCGGGTCGGCCGGGTCCCGGGTCAACCCGCCGGGCCGGGCCGAGTTTTAAAACTATGGTTCAGGGTTTTTTTTATATGGTTATTAAACCTAATTTACTTTACTAATAAACTTAAATTATCTAGATATATAAAAATTAGTTTGAAATTGACTTGTAGATCAATAAATGATATTGTTAAAATCTATTTTTTAAATTAAAACAATATTATTTATCTTTTTAAATTATTTTTATTTAATTGATTGATTAGAATTAACTTGTTTGATCAATTTTAGACTGGATTCTTTTCAATCTAGTTTAACAATTATAATTTTCACTTGGCATGCGATGAAGCTACTATCTCCACTTGATTGGTTCGTTCCTTTTAATTATCTCTTTATTTTAATTAATTAAAAATATATTTATTTTTATAATTGAGATTGAAATTGAGAAGGTATGGAACTCAATTATCAACAAAACTTAATCATAAAAATTAATTTTTTTATTTTTTTTGGTTGGTTCCATGCATAAACTTCATCCTCAATTATAAAAACAAACATGCTCGAAAGTAGTTGCCAAGTAAATATTATATAACCAACAAATACTTTGCAAATTTGTATAATTCACTTCCAATTCATTATTTGCAATGCAATTTTTATTTTTTATCTTTTTAAATCCTAGGCTATTTCTACTCTAGTTATTGAAACAATGTACAATATTTAATTATCATAGAGGACAGCATTCAAAGATGGCCAAGGTTTTTGCATGGTGAAGAGAGATGGATAAAGTATTGGGTTAAGCCGAACAAAGATCACTGAATTCTCTTCACTTTTTCTGTTTAATATGTACTATTTTGATTAATTAGAAGAGATTAGGGACTCTATGTGTTTTTTCCCTCCTTTTTCTTGTTGATTTCTTTTTCTTTTTTTCTCCCCTGACCAAACACAGCACTGTTAAGTGTTAAGTTTGAACCATCAATGATTGGCCTTCATCACGCTTCAATGCATTAAGGTCAAGAAGTTCTTTCAATAGCAGTTGATTGTAAGAATCCCCCTGTGGGATACATATTAGCTAGGGTTTCATTGTACAACCACTAACATTTTATGCAAAGATAAGATTAGTCACCTATATTGAAAAGAAAGAAGGAAGTTGAGCCACCATTTGAGACAAGATGGAGAGTGAGCTGATACATTTTAACTAATTCCTTTTCTCGCCACGCCGAAATATGAAGTTCTTAATTAGCCATAATAATCCCATTAGTCACTTTCCTAATTATCCTCTCATGATAACCAGAATCTCATCTTCTTATTGCTTGATTTTGTGGATCGATGAATCTATTCGGTTTCAAGAACTGGTGTAAACGAGCAAAAACAATGAACCAATTCTGGGTTTCTTTTTTTTTTTTTTCCATCGAATCAAGTTTTCAAAATGTTGTTCGCTCCCCCATTAACAAAAGTTTCTTAATTATAGCTGACAAAAATATGGAAAAGAAAAGAGAAAAATAAAAGGAGAATCAAGTTCTCAGTGCTTATTATATACTATATCTCAAGGAAGATCATAGGCAAAATATATATATATATAGATGAGAAAAGATGGGGGACCGAAACTCCATTACATGCCACTGCTGCTCAAAAAGGGATCACATTCTTTCAAGCTAAAATCATTATGTCTGGTTTGTGGAGCTCCTAACAAACTGCATTTACACTAATTAGCTTAAAGTTTCTGCAAAAAATATCTTGATTAAACCACAAGCAATAGAAGCCTGCGAAAGGTGGCTGATTCAACAGTACTAAGTTCATCGATAATATTATAATTATCACCCCTATAGATGAAATGGACAGAAAATTCATTGTACCGTGTAAGTTGATTTATCCAAAGTGAACACAAATCTCAATGAAATAAGAATAAAATTATGAACCTCACGTATATAGTACTACTACTTATCCGAAAACCTCAAACCCCACCCCTTCTCTGCAAAAGGAGAAGGAGAGAGAGGGTGTGCAAATCTCAAGTGGATAATGGAGTATCCTCAAGTAGGTCCAGTGGATAAATATGAAGGTGAAGAGTGACAGAATAATTTTATATTATTAAGTGATCTTTCACCATATATATTGGATTGCATTTAGGTTATTATTGCATGAGAATGACCGACTGGCTTTCCCATTCTGCCTGTAGATGATGTTTCAGAGTCAATTACAAGTTCATGAATGCGCTTTTTTGCTTGGTAGGGAACTAGAATTTCCCTTGTCATTTCTGTAGTTGCAATGGAAGTTGCAATCGGGACGTTTGGTTTGTACATCTCTCTCAAACGTTTTTTCCTTCTTTTGCCTCCTTTGTATAATTGCTTTCTTTGCACTGGCCATGCATTAATGGCTAAACCTTCCACCAAAAGTTCCTTTGCCACTAACATCATAATGAAAAGTTTGGATTTAACTAATATCTTTAGTTATTTTTTTATTACCAGAAATAACCACAAGTGGTTAGTCTTAAATTAAGAACATATATACACTGCTCTTAGTATGTTAGTATTATTTTTATTGATAGCTCACGGATGGAAATACTCCATTAGTTTTAAAATTCTTGTCGGTAATTTTTGGTATATTGATAATAAAATTACCAATGAATTTACTGATTGTAAAAACAATAAAAAAAAATAATAAATAATAATACTGAAGAATCGAGCTACTAGAAAAACAAAATCAACTCAAATAAATTTGCAACAAATAAATAACATAAAAATACCGATGGATTTACTAACTGCAAAAGCAAGCAAAAAAAATTAAAACTAAATAATAATAATGAAGAACCGAGTTGCTTGAAAAAAAAAAAGAAGAAAATCAACTCAAACAAATTTGCAACAAATAAATAACACAAAAAATAAACAACATTAACAAATAAATAAATCAACTAAAAACAATTTCCACTTAACCTAGGAAACCTATTCCAGACCCATAATCCATTAACAAATAAATTCATTTAATTTAAAATGAACATAAAATTAACTAATAATAATTAAAATCAATCCTATATATTTAATTGAAATTGAACAATAAAATTGAAAAATAAAATCTATGTAAAATCCAACAAAATTGTTCCTACGACAACATTCATACAATTATTAAGAACAAAAAAATATTAAGAAAATAAATATAATGAAAAAAACACAAAAAAAAAGTAAAAAGAAAAATCTTATTGTAGTTTCGTTGTGTGTGAAATTGAGAAGAAAAAAAACTAAATTCATAAAGTATATCAATTAAAACAAATCAGAGAAGATAAAAAAAGAAGAGAGGAGAAGATATACCTACACGTGGAGGAGAAGAGAAGAGAATGAGTTGAGGAGAAAAAAGAAAGAAAGAGAGAGACATTGATGTTTTTTATAGAAGAAGAAAAAGAAGAAGAAGAACAAGAATAAGAAGAAGAAAACGAGGCGTGTCTGTTATGAAATTAGCCAATCTAATCTTTTAATTGAGCATTTTTACTTATGGTTTTATCGATGAATAATTAAATATTAATATTTATAATCATTCTGTTGGTGATTTCGTCTGTAATATTTAATTTAAAATTTTAATTTAATAGTTTTTTTTTCAGAAATGCCCTAAATATCGTTGACAACTTTTTAGTCAATCGGTGATTCCGTTTATAATATTTAATTTAAATTTTTAATTTAATTAAAAATTCTTATAAACCCCTTAAATATTACTAACAACTTATCAGTACATTAATGATTCTGCTTGTAATATTTAATTTAAATTTTTAACTTAATAAAAAAATCTCATAAACCCCCCAAATATCATCAATGATTTTTCAGTCAATTGGTAATTCCATCTGTAAAGAATAATAAGTAACAATGCAATTGAGAAGTGAATAGTTTTATAGCTCTTGAGAAAATACCGATGAACTTAATCCGTCGGTAATACCTTTTGTATTTAACATAATAAAAAATATTAGGGAAAATAGAACAATTCCAATGCTCTTTAGAATATATCGTTAGACTTATTCTATTGATGTATCTGATAGTATTTTACAATTTGAATGCTCTCTTAAATATTAATGGATGAATTTTACCGATGGATTAATACCGTCGGTAATGGCTATACAAATATTATGTCATTATATATTTTGATTTATTCTTTCTCTTGGTACATACAAATAAAATATTTTCATTAGTATTTAGTGATGGATATACCAATAAAATATTTTGTTAATAAAATTTATTGTAATCTATAAACATAAATA